GTGAAAGGAATCCCCTCGACCATGTTCGAGAAATATCTAATCAAATAGACGATTCTCCAAAAAGAGGGATAAATTTGACCAAGCGTCACTCCATATTGTCGACAAAAATCGAGGATCACCGGGTCTATAGGTGGAGAAGAAGAATCTACAGGACCTAAGGTAAAGGGATACGTATATACGCTGAGGAAACCAACTCTGTGTGTAGTTATATCTTCTTTCGATGAAGGGATCTCTACTACCGCCTCTCCCCAGCGGCAATCTATTTTCACCTTCTCTATGTCGGTTATTAGACTAATGTATCGAGACATGGGCTCGCATCGGCCCGGTACCGAAGAAGGTTTATTAATTTTGAAATCGGAGGATGTATCGAAGGGCCCAGGAGTACACTCCTCAATGCAAGGAGGCACTACCTTTTTGCTCTTAGACGAGCGTGACGAAGAAGGGGCTTCCTCTTTTCGAGGTACTGTCTTAGAAGTTTTGGCCATGGTTATAACAAAGTTTCAAAATAAGCTGACGAAGAAGTGAACACAGAAGAAGGGTGAAGGTAGGAAACTGTTAACAAAGATTTGAAGATTTAAAGATGTTGCAAAGGTTTAAAAGATAGGGAATTGGAGTATTTATAAGAGTCATCTAAGTGTATTGGAGGAGTTGAAGGGGCGACCAATAGCGGTTCGTGGGCTTTTCGAGAACTGTGTTGACAAGACCTCTGTACAACTTTTCTGTCACCTCTTTTAATGATCACACGTGGCTGACGTCACAATGGGGGTATCGAAGAGGCAAGCACTCAAGATCGTTTCCTATCATTTCGTTCTAAGAAACGCGGGGACTATTTGTATACGGCCAAAATCGGGGAGTTCGACTTTGGGGCTACCGTGGCTCTCCACGCCTGACCTCGAGAAGCTCGAAGCAGAATTTGAAGTGTGACCCCGAGGTGCGTCCTCTAGGTAACATATCGAAGGTTCACTGTGGTCAATCTCGGAGCAGTACAAATCGATGATCGTCATGAAAAGGCGGGAAAGCTCCCAAGGATACGTGGTTAGAGCTAACCAAGTCTGCAAGAATAGTACAAATCCGTACTGAGCCATTATACAGCTGTACCAATAGCATTTCCTCATCATTATTAGACATGTACTATGTTGGGATTCCCCCTCCTATATAAAGGGGACCCTTGTCATTTTGTAACACATATGAATATTGAATACAATAGAACATTCTCTGCTTCTCTTGCCTAAACGTGTTCAACAATTACTCTACAGATTTATTGCTTGTTCATTTATTGTTCATTTGTTGTTCTTCATTTATTGCCCATTATTAACAGCAAAAGGTCATCTTCGAGGCCTTCGATATCATTGTTTCTTCATCAATTGTCCATTGCTAATTGCCCTAACTAGACCTTGATACCCCTTTGAAATTCAATTTCTCTCTTTCTTACTAATCACCCAAAATCTCTATTTTCTTTATTGATATAATGCAGATAAAATTTGAAATATTGCTCTAGAATCAAGTTGTGGGTAAGTTTTGAATCTTGTTTTCTTTCTTTCTAAAATCTTTACTGTATGTGACTTGTATATGATATATCAATACCAAAATAATACTCGATACAATACTAATACAATTATAATATAATTATATTAAATTTTTAGTGTGAAATTGTGATTGAAACTTGAAGAAGATGAAGATCATAATTGTGTCACAATTTTTCAGAAATGTATCGTGATTGTATTATAATTGTATATGTATCATAATTGTTGCACGAATTGTATTAAAAATGTATGATAGTTGTATATTCATTGTACATTGTTACGAGCAGTTGTGCGTTCGTGACGAATTTCACAGTTATATCACAAGTATGATAATTGTATATTATTTTATTATAGTATTGTATTAGGTATTATTTTGGGTATTAATATACCAGATACAAGTTAGAAATAATTGTGATACAAGTATGATACATTTATGTTTTAAGCATTGATGTATCTGATACAATTCAAATACAATTATGATACAATTATCCTACAATTATCATAAAATTTCAGAATATTTTTTAATAATATAAAGTTATCGGTAATGGTGGGAAGAGAGATGATGTAGATTTTGGGCGTAGATTAAGGGATTTTGATGTAAAAGAAAAAGGAGAGAGAAGAGGAGAGGGAAAAAAAGGAAATGATATAATTGAATCTCTTAATTGAAGGCACTAATAATGGAATGATAGTCTTTTAAGAAGCAATATATACAATTTGTAAGAAAAACCTAGATACTTATTAAAAACTTCAAAACATAGAGAACATAGGTAAATAAGTTTCTAATATAGTATAGCTAGATAAAAATCCCATAAGAATTCTTTCAGAATTAGTGTTTGTCCATGAAATTTTCACTTGAAGTTGCCGTTCGAATATTTTGAAAATTTGAAAAACTCCATAAAATTATTTTTCAAAATTTTAACGTCAAATCACTCACAAAAATCAAAAACAGCTCCAAATTGTATTCATTTCCAATCACTACTCTAATTTTCAAATACCATTTTACTTTTTTTTTTAAAAAAAACTTTTTTTGAAATTTTATAATTTTAATGTCCAAACGCCCACTTGTTATATTTTTGTTTTTTGATACAGGTTTGTAGTGACTCTTAATAAGTATTAATATTAGTCTCTTTTTAACCTTGAAAAAAGTAGCAATGATATTTTGATTACAATATTTGAGAAATAGAAGGGACATGAGTGAACGTGACACTAGACTCATTTCTTTTATTAATTACAATATAGTGGTGTGGGTCTGTATTAGCCTCGCCATATACAGGGTAATTTCTTTTGAGTGTGTGGATTTGCTTTTTATGTGTGCCGTGTGCGCATAAAAGGCCATAACATGATATCCTAACAAACTCCGATTTAGTGGAGTTACAAAATAAATTGTTTATCCTGAATCCTGATTTAAATTTATCATTTTTAGTATATAGTTCGCTAAAGTAGATTAGGCCTAACTACCAGGAAACCCAATCCTTACCTAGAAAAGCATGGAAGAAAATTAAAATATCCAACTTAAAAGAGTGCAAAGCTCCAGGGAGATTGTGTTTTTTTTTTCTTCCATTTTCAATGAAAATGAAATTAGAATTATCGGATTGTGTCTTGTTTGAGTTCTAACATTTGGAGTTCAAATACAAGCTGGAAATTAACTTTTATAAGTTCAAATACAAGCTATCTTGTTTGAGTTCCAATATTTTTTCTTAGAGTCCAAACATAATATGTTGGAATTTAACTTCTAAAAGTTTAAGTCGTAGCATATTCACATACAAGGTGTCTTTGAACTCCACCACAATATGCTGGAGTTTTACACGCATGAATTTTATAATCCAACATATTATGCTGGATTTTTTCTTATTTTAGCTAAGGATATTTTTGTCAAAATTTATTTCCGCATTAAATAATAGTTGTTTTTTAATTACTTCACAAATATTGGTAATTTTACAACTGTGCGTCCGAAAACTAATTAGCCCACGCTATTTTAACAAAAGGCGTAAATATTGCACGGGGCGCCCTATTTGGTTGCCCCCATTTAACCTATACCCATTTTTTTTTAAAACTTTTAACTTATATCCACTTTTTAAATAACTTCAGCCCCGTTTCTGCTCCTCCTTCTCCTCCGTCCTCTTCTTCTTCTTCTTCTTCTTCTTCTTCTTCTTCTTCTTCTTCTTCTTCTTCTTCTTCTTCTTCTTCTTCTTCTTAAATGACACATCCTGAGAAATGGACCCTATCGATGATATTCAGTTCGACTGAAATATTCTTTCAAGATAACATGATTTCATGGTGTTTTTCTGATCAGTAGCAGCTGCATGTTTAGATACTTTAATCAAGCAAGTTTCCTTTTTTCCTATAAATTTTACAGGTTTTGTATTAAAAGGAGATCTTTCTTCTTCCCTTGTTTTTATGCTATAACTGCTTGTGCTTGAAACAGACAGTGCAAATAGGAACTTCTTTGACCAAGCACTAATTTCATATGTTCTTTTAATATATGTGTGTGTTATGTCATGGTTATCTTTGTTTTAGACTTGGTTGCTAAGAATATTTCAGTCGAACTGAATATCATCGATAGGGCCTGAAATTTTTGTTTTGTAACTGGTGAACTTCAGTTCTGGAGCTGAAGTTTTTGTTTTGTAACTAGCGAACTTTAGCTCTAGAGCTGAATTTTGTTTTTGTAACCGGCGAACTTCAGCTCGCTGAACTTCAGGCCCGGCTACTAGAATGCTGAAGTTTTGCGTGATTGCCTTCGCTACTTCAGCCCCATATGGTGAAGTTACGCGAAAAAACGGGTACGCTTGCAATTTTTTTTGCAAAGCGGGCACAAGTTAAAACGTGACACAAAAAGCGGATACGGATGCAAATGCCCCACAAAAGGCTTACAGGCCAGTCATGGTCCACATTATCAGCATTTCCAGCTTATAGAAACAAATAAATTGGATTAATCTGATTATAATATATACTGTACAGATAAATGTTACAACAACCCACCAAGACAATATAAGCCTATAAACAGCTTCCATAGCAATTTATATTCTGATGATTTGGATCACCCATGGTAGTAATTGATCTTGTATGTAACACTATTAGAGCCAGAATTAGTAGCACCATTGTATTATTGATGCCAAATGGCAAGCATTGGTTGGCCACTCCATCACCTTTCGATCCCTTTTTTGCTGATTAAGAGCACCATTTGTTTGTGTGTAGACAATAAAAGAGAATCAAACCCCTCAGGCCAACTATTTAAGTTTAGTGCCTCTATGGATTGGAAGATGACATAATAAAAGCGCCTTATATTATGGGGCCTTTTTCCTTTTGGATATCAAATCAAACCCCTCTTACACCAAAAACGTTAGCCAAGAGTAAAGGTGCTTTTGTATTTAAAGAAATTGAAAAGAATACACAATAAAAAGAGACAACCACTAATGCACCTACTTTCCTACTCTTCTTGCTATATAAATATGTGAAAGTGCTCTTCATTTCATTTCATTGTGAAGTAGAACTAGCAAGTTCTTTCTTTGGAAAAGGGATGGCTGATTTTTCTGGTCATTGGGCTTTTACATTTGGTGTCCTCGGTAAATTCCTTTTCGTTTTGTTAGTATAATTTGAATCGAACTTTACACGACATCTAGTTACCATTATGGAACCAATTAAATACAAAAAACAATGTAATAATTAGTTCCTCTTTCTTTTTCCATTTTAGTATGAAAGCTTAACATTCAAAAAACTTTTTAAATTATTTCCTTATGTAGAGTATGATTTGAGAAATAAATATTATAAGTAAAACCATGTGTTATAACCGATGCAGCATTGCTAATTTAATTATCTAAATAAATTATTCGTACGTAAATAATCATTTCATCTTAATTGCATATTCCTTAATCATTTATGTAAACTAATATAAATCATTTGTATTGATGAATGTGGGGATTTTTCTTTTCTTGGCTTCCATTTTGCAGGAAACATTGTCTCCTTTTTCGTGTTGCTTTCTCCACTGTATGTCTTCATTCCTTATGTTCGTTTTTACCCCTCTTTCAAAGTGTATTTGTGTTACAACTTGCGCAATCAATTAATTTTCATAGTTTTTCTCCTATGTGCAGGCCAATTTTTTATAAAATATATAAGAAGAAATCAACAGAAGACTATCAATCAATTCCATACGTGGTTGCTCTATTCAGTGCAATGCTTTGGATTTACTATGCATTTCTCAAGTCCAACACCACCCTTCTCATCACTATAAACTCATTTGGCTGCTTCATTGAAACTATATACGTAGGCTTTTACCTTTTCTACGCACCCAAGAAAGCACGGGTAACCTCTTTTTTACAAGAAAATCCAGTACAAATTAATTCTTTCTTAAGAGTTCTATATACAGAAGGAAAATAAAAATTTTGGACCTCTTCAATTATTGCAGGTCCAAACTGTAAAGCTACTGCTTTTATCAATATTTGGAGGGTTTGGACCTATTGTCCTTGTCACTCAGTTTCTATCCAAAGGAGTTGTTCGTGTGCAAGTTGTTGGATGGATTTGCCTTGTGTTTTCCTTAAGTGTATTTGTATCCCCATTATGTATAGTGGTAAGTTTATACATGCAAAAAAAAAAGAAAAATATCAATAATTTCTCTAAAGCTTTCTTCTCTAACTGCTTCTTTGTTTTAGGAATGAAAATTATAATGTTCAATTTTCTCATTTAATGCAGAGGCAAGTTATTAAAACAAAGAGTGTGGAATACATGCCATTTTTCCTCTCTGTTTTTCTCACTTTAAGTGCTGTTATGTGGTTCTTCTATGGTCTTCTATTAAAAGACTTCAATATTGCTGTAAGTTGTAATTTCATTTCCTACTCTTGACTTTCATGCATCTATATTTCTTGAACTCTAGCACTAATATATATTTTTCCTTCATTGAATATATAGATTCCAAACGTATTGGGATTCATCGTTGGTATCCTCCAAATGGTGCTCTATGTCATATACAACAAGAAAGAGGAAGTCATTGTTAAGGAGCAGAAATTTCCTGAGCTACAAAATCATGTCATAATCTTACACAATGACAAGAATTTCCCAGAACTAACTGAAGAACAGATTATTGATATTGTGAAACTTGGTTCACTGATTTCATGTACAGAGAAATTTAATGTCGTTTCATATCTGCATGAAAATGTAGCTGAAACAGCTAAAGGTCATAAGAAGCTACAAGCGGTGGAAATTAATCTGAGACTTAGCTAGTAATTCATTCGCTAATTTCCCGGGTATATCACAAAATGCACATATATAAATTTACATTATATACACTGATACTTTAAGTCGGACACAATGAAGACTATTTTGTATCTGTTTCTGCTAGCTACATGTAATTAATACGAACTTTATGACGGATGAACTGAATTGTATTATGATGATTCTTAAGTATCAAATGTGTATTAAATTTCTCAGTTAATTTAAGGTCTGGTATCCGTCCCTACTCCAGTATACAACTCGTGTTATATCTAATTAATTTTGACAATTAATTTTCGTGCTTTCTTATATTAGCATCATGTCAATACTCTATTTTAGAAACTTACGGGACAGGGCTAAAAACACCCCCATAGTATTCTAAATGGTTTACTATCGAGCTCCGTTCACCTAATTATTTGAAAATACATCTAACGTTATCTTGAAGTGTGAAATAACCCCCCCGACTACTGGAACCATCTGTGGTCTCATCTTATATGTGTTGTCACCAGGAATGAAGCTACATTCACTTAAGGGTGGTCAATTGACCACCTTTCGTTGAAAAATTACACGGTATATACAGGTAAAATATTAAGTTTTAGAGGTATATAACTTATATTGAACATCCTTTGTCGGCAAATTTTTTTCACTTCGTTCAAGTTTGAACACCCTTGAAAAAATTTATACCCATATATTATAAGCCATTATTTTAGTTTAATTTTTTTTTGGTTTTACAATGGATTATCACTTTTGCATTCTGATTTCTATATGGGCGGTTGCATGCGGGTTTATGTACAGTATACTGGGAGTTTTTTAACATCAAGATAAAGTTGAGATATCTGTGCATTCTCCACTGGTTTGTTGGTAGAATAATTTCTGCTTGTGATGTCTAAGTACATTAAACCTTTAATTACCTGAAATGCGCACTTTCAATCCTCTTGCTTGTGAATATTCAGATATTTCCAGAAATATTAACCCTTTCATCAGTTAATTACTCTGTGTTATGTTAAGCTTGTACTACTACGACATATTTGGAGGTAATATACTTTTAAAAATAGTCCAAATATATATCTTCAACATAGAGGGGCCAAAAGCACACATTTTAATTAAGTGAATATTATGTGATGAGTCATATATGATAAAGACAAAAATCATTTTTACCAGTCATCGAGGGATCAAAGTGTTATTATGCATAATAAATTGTTAACAAATATATCTGAAGGCTGAACCTCGGTGACTCTCCAAAAAAAAAAAAAAAAAAAAAAAAAAAAGAAGCTTTTAACATATTTGTTCGTCAGGCCGAAAACCATTACAACTGCTAGTCAAATATATAAAAGATTATATACCAGTGATATGTAAAATATGTATATTATATGTATATTAACCAAAGGAGGCATGATCTTAGTAATATATGTATCCACAAGAAGACCATGTGTTCCACAATTAAAAAGTACTCACTCCGTTCCAATTTATGTGAACATGTTTGACTGGGCACGAGTTTAAGATAAAATGAAGACTTTTGGAATTTGTGGTCCTAAACAAGTCAAAAAGGGCCACAAAGTATTTGTGTGGTTATAAAAGCTTCTCATTAAGGGTAGAATTGTAAGTTTAAGCTAAATTGTTATAAAATTTAGAAAGGGATCATTCTTTTTGGAACCGACCAAAAAGGAAATAGGTTCACATAAACTGGAACAGAGGGAGTAACATTTAACAATCAATGTTCCCAAACCAGTTGAGGTGCGTGAATGCTTGACTTAAAGCTTGAGCTAGGTGCAATCCAACAATCATTTTAACTGGATACCATCAAAGAGGGCAAGTGGGAAGGAGCCGATGAAATTCTTTTGGAGTTCTTTGCTGATAACGTCCTCTCAAGGACTCGGATTAGTCAACAGGAATGAAATCCAAGAAAGTTGGTAGCTCGAGCGAGTAGCAGAGCCTAACCCTATAGGATATATTATTTTGATGTCTCTAGTAAATCAAAATCACCATTTAGTAGCCATTTTGCTTCACTTTCTTCTTTACAAGTAACAAATTGAAGATTTAGTTACGATTAGAATCAACTTTCTATCTTCATCCATTGATCCTTTGTTCAAACTTATTTAATTGAAAGTATTGATCCAATTCAATATTTATGTTTCGCAATTTCATAATCTAGTTTTCTAATGTCTAAGTGACCCTGACCCTGGGATAGAAATTACAAGAATGTATATTTGTCCTCGAATTTGTCATTGAGAGGAAAAAGGTTAAATCATTTTAAGAAATGATTTTTTTTATCGGAATACGAAACAAAATGAAAGAAAAATGGGTCAACGATATCAACATGTGTGTTTGAGAGATTGTCATTAGCCTGAGGAGTGTCCATATGAGTTTGTTCAGGTATTTACATAGGCTTGTGGAGGTCTCGAGGCTCAGGGAATATACCACTCGCGATACTCTTTCTCCGTCACCTCTTTCTCCAAATCAGCTATTTGGTATTGCTGAATTTAGTATCATTACCAACAGGTTGGTAGTTAGTCAGGATGAGACTGTTGTCCCGCCCGTACGTTCTAGGGGAAAAAGACCTCTTTTTATTATTAGAGTCAAAATTCTTTATGTTTTTCTCCTAATTTTTCACTTTTTCAGTAAAGCAAAATCTCACCACACTACACTTCGACACAAGAGGACCAGGTGCTTTGTATCTTCGAGATAGGAAGTTGGCGGTCTTTTGTAGTAGAACTTCAGTCTAATAATCCATTAATATATAAAAACAATATTGGTGAATTTTAGCATTTTATTATTAAAATTATATTATGCCATGATCTCGTATTAATTATTATTACCCCATGATCTTGAGAAGTGGTAATAACCCACTAACCCAGTACTTTATGATAAAGAAAATGGCCGTAACTTTTTTGTAATCTCTCTTCCATTATCTACCACTACTTACATACTAACACATACATTAACCATGTTCTTCATGAACTCATAGATAATTACCCAACCTTTTTTTCCAATTTAATCCAAGAGAAAATTTTCACACCTATAAACAAGTGTATTTCTTTCAAAATATAGCGTGAAAAATATTACAGAGTGCATGAAAAAGTAAGGTTAAAATTATAAATGTCACGACCTAAAATTCATCTAGTCGTGATAGCACCTAACCCAACTCGCTGGGTAAGTCAAGTAATAGTCAACATAACTCAAATGAGAAAAATAAAAGTAAATGAGTAAAATAACTGAAGTTCTGTACAATCTCCCAAGGATCGGCAGTACAAGTCATGAGCTTCTAAGACTTACAATTTACAAAGTTGGTGCGAAACAAAGTCATCATCTGTTCAAAATACATATAAACAGATTTACAAATATAAAGCTACCAAGGACAAGTGGCAGCTATAATCAGAACGCAGATACATCTTCCATGCCAGCTCCTGCCATACACAACAACATCAACTCCAAGATCTGCACGCAAGGTGCAGAAGTGTAGTATGAGTACAACCGAGCTCATGTTCTAAATAAGTAACAAACCTAACCCAAGTCGAAAGAAGTGACGATCTCTAAATAAGGTCAGAGTCCAACACTAATATTCAATAACAACTCGTAATAACACAATGAGAACAGTTGTAACGACCAGACCGTTTATTTTGAGTATTATAACCCCGTTCCTCCATTTATTGCATATTCTATGTTCATTTGTTACTATGTGACTCGGTGGGATGTTCGGTTTGCTCCCGAGGATATTTCGGAATGAGTTGGGACACTTAGTCCCAAGGTTGGAAGCCTAAGTTGAAAGAGTTGACCGAATGTTGACTTATATGCAAATGACTCCGGAATGGAGTTTTGATGGTTCCGATAGATCCGTATAATGATGTTAGACTTATGAGTGTGTCCGAATATTGATTTGGCGGTCCGTAGATGAATTTGACTTAAATTGGTGAAAGTTGGGAAAGTTGAAGTTTGAAGAATTGAGAAGTTTGACCGAGAGTTGACTTTGTGGTTACCGGGCTCGGATTTTTGTTCCGGAAGTTGGAATAGGTTCGTTGTGTCATTTTATGACTTTTGTGTAAAATTTGAGGTCATCAGAGTTGATTTGATAGGTTTCGGCATCGATTATAGAAGTTGGAAATTCATTAGTTACAATAAGCTTGAATTGGGTGCAATTCAGGTTTTTGATGTTATTTGAGGCCGCAACTAAGTTCTTATCATATTTTAGGACTTGTTGGTATGTTTGGTTGAGGTCCCAGGGGCTTCAGGTGGATTTCAGATGGTTAATGGATCGAAATTTGACTTAGGAGATATGCTGAAGTGCTTTAGGTCTAGTGTCATTGCACCTGCAGAAGGATTGGCCACAAGTGCGGAGCCCCAAAAGCGGCTAGGGGGGCCCATGTGCGAAAAAGGAGAAGGCAGCTAGGATGCGCATGTGCGGGGGAGATATCCGCAGAAGCAGACGCGCTCCTACGCGAAGTGTTCCGCGGAAGCGGGGCTGGGCAATGTGGATGGTGATCGCAGAAGCGATGGGTTAATCCACAGATGTCGTCCCATAGGTGCGAAGAAGGGACCGTAGGTGTGCTAGGTCGGGTGTTTAGTGTCCTTCAGAGAAGCGGACGTGCGACTGCAGAAGCGGTTTCGCATATGCAAAATTTGGGGCCGCAGGTGCGATTTCGCTGGCAGAAGGGTTATAAACGAGGATTAGAGTAATTTCTTCAATTTTGAACCTTGGGAGCTCGAATTGAGGCAATTTTTGAAGGGGTTTTCACTATATTTCACGAGGTATGCAACTATTGGTTGGTTTTATCTGTTAATATTGAATACCTATTGAATTTCCTACCTAGATTATGTGTATTTAAGGTGAAATTTTGGACTAAGGATTGGAGAATAAGATTTGGGGTTTGAGTGATGATTTTGTGCCGGAATTTGATAATTTTGGTATGGTTGGACTCGCAGTTGAATAGGTATTCGAATTTTGTTAATTATGTCCTATTCCGAGACATGGGCCCGTGGTTGACTTTTTGAGTTGACTTTTGTTAAAGATCTTAGCTTTATCATTTGGAGTCAATTCCTATGATGACCCGGTAGGTCATCTTTAGTTTTAGCCCTAAATTCTTTGTTTCAAAACCTCGATTAGCTCCGTTTAGACTTCCACGATTTGTGTGCGCATTCCGTGTCTTTTTCCGGAAGGTTTTTATGTAAAAAAAATTGATGAAAATGTTAAATCATGTTGTAAAACTCATTTGAGTTGACTTCGGTCAACGTTTTGAGCAAACGGACCCGG